TTTTTTAACTTTCTTTTTCTGATGAATTCACATCAATAGATTATGCAGATATATGACTAAATAGGGCCATGCTCCTTTAAATTTCGCATACAAACTGCGCCTTGAACTGTGCATGCCTGACTTACAAGTACTACACTTGGCTAATAGGCTCGCCAATATAGCCATTTACATATAATCGCATGGCCTGGACGATGGCAATAGACACGCGAATGCGAACTCATGCCGAGGGGCGACCCTTCCGGCTGGTTGATTTTTTATACCATCTGCGCCCGGCTGGCAAGGCAAAACGTGCGTAAATTCTTAAGCTGCCAGCATTAAACGCAATAAAGACAGAACAACATAAACAAGTCGCCCGGAGAGCTAAACACCGCTTTTAGCCGCCGGCCATTGAGCAAAATGAAGCGAAACAAGGAGACGAGGAGTTGGGCAGGAAAATTACAAATTCAATTTGATGTCATATCAATTGATTTTGCGATACATCTTGTTGCCTTTGTTGCTGACAAGCTGCAAACACAGTTCAGCTCAGTGGTAGGGGTATTCCCCATACACACGCATATATATATATATATGTACGTTTATTTTTTGGCTGGGTTTTTCCCTGTGCCTGGCATTTGATTTTGATGACGCGTGGCACTTTTGAAATTTATGCGCTACTCTAAACACACTTTGTATGCGCCCAATGCCACGGCAAACATGACGAAGAGTCCAAGTGGATGCCACAAAATATGTGCTTGTGCGTGTATGTGTGTCTGTATGTTCTGCATGAAATTTGAAGCTTTTAGCTGATTCGCTCTGTCAGTAGGGGATAAACGCAGGTATTTTGAGCACGCGCCGAGAAACAAGAAATAAATAAAAAAAAAATAAAATAAATAAAACAAGAAAATGAAGCCAGATAGGTAAGTTCCTGGAATAAATTAAGACAAATAAGAGTTCCTTTACACGCACTAATGTAAACTTATAAAACATTAGAATATAATTTTAAACGGCAGGCTATGACTACTTTCTAAACTTGAAATAAATAAAAAAAAAAGTAAGCAGCACATTCACAAACACACACACGCACACGCATAAGGGTGCAATCAGTGTTGCCAGTTTAGCCTATTTCAGACTAGAGCTCGCCTATTGATAATACATCCATTGAAAATAAGCATGGGATGGAATATCAAGAAATTGAGCCAGTCTATGCATAAGTCCTACTCCTTAAGATAACTTAAGAGAAAAATCTGCTATCTATGCCATCTAATATTTATAAATATTAATAATATAAATAAGCTAGCTTAGAATATCAGGCATGTACATACATACATATATGTATACATTCTTGAGCAGCGTAATGAGGTAATCCGATTTAGCGATGCGCGTTTGTTTGGCTATATATTTGTTCGTATGTCAGTCTGTATATCCGTCTCTCTGTCTGTCTCTCTGTTTTATCTCAGAGTCGGTCAATGTGTCTGCAGAACTGCAAAAGATCGTTTAAGTTTTTTATATTTATGTATCATTCCTCAGTTGGTATTCATATTTGCGTGAGACTAAGTTAGAATGCTTGTAGCAGCACAGAGTCACTTAAAGCTCGACTGCAACGACCTCTACCTGACGTCAGACTCAACATATAAAGGGCAGGCCTATATAAAGGGCAGCAGATGCAGCATTTCTTCAGTCGCCCAGGCCTGGTTGGTCAGTCGTGCAGTGCAGTAAAGTGAAGTGTGTGATCGTTCAGCTAAGCATTCAAGACGTGGAGGAAATACGTAGACTAAATACTTAAAGAAAATACTTAGAGGTAATTCGTAAAGAAAATACTTAAAGTAAATAGGTAAAAGAAAGAAATAAATAATCGCCGACCTTATAAAGAATATATATATGTGGTTTGCTATGACTTCTGGCTGATTTCCCGATTCAACGGGTTCAGGGTATATACATACATTTATATATATTATTATTATTATGCACCTCAAAATAAGAAAAAAAATTAAAAAAAAAAATTAAAAATTATTTTCATAAAATTTTTCCCACATACAATTTCATCTATAATATCCGCACTGATTGAAAAAGTAAAATTAATAAACAAAAAGAAAAAAAAAAAACATGTAAGTATTAGAGTTGTTTACCTTGACTATTTGCATGTGAAGCTTTAAGGATTCGGCCTGCCAACATCATTCCAGTGTTTCAATTCACAATAAAACAGTCACAGCTGGCATTCACAATATGATAGATACTTCTGGCAGTCAAACAATGTCCCAATGTCCAGCCTGTTGGCACTTACGCAATTTGCCCTCAGTGTCTACCCAAAAGCATATTTCATTGCCAATTGCGTTGAAGGCAGTATGAGGCTAGGCAACGAGGCGGCCATAAATATGCTACACGAATATGTCATAAACTATTAGCAGTCATGTCCTTTCGTATGGCAGCACTGACAAACAATCTTTACACTACACACACTCACACGCCCACACACAGCTTGACACTCGTTGTCAACTAGAGAAATTGAGGACATCCATGCATGCCACTCACGTACCCAGAAATCTATCAAATTACCGAATATAATGATCATCATCGTCGTCATATGGTAATGATGAGCCTGAAAAAAGTGGCCAGCGCTTGCATTGAAAATATTTCATAAATTTGCAAAAGTTGGTTTTATTTACACGTTTCTGTTTTACGAGTAGAGCAGACGAGAGACTCACGTGCCGCTGTCTGTTTATATGTATTTAGACTATGTATTATACAGCTGATTAAGCATGCATTAGCATATATTGAATACATTTAGCACTAACAACTATGTCTAATAGGAGCGTGTCCTGGTCACACATACACATATACACAACATGGGAGATGGCGCAGCTGGATCAATCGCTGGTTAGCTTCAGTCGCACGGCGATGCGTTTGCACTTCCACATGAGCTGAGTCTCCAGTATGCTGAAGGACATGGCCACCAGAACGAGGCCCAGCAGCAGATAGGCACAGCAGGCGTACAGCTGCAGCTCGGGTCCATTAAAGGTGCGCGCCGGCACAAAGTCGCCGTAGCCAATTGTCGAGAGCGTGACAAAGCAGAAGTACGCGCCATCCACCAGTGACCAGTTCTCCCACAGCGCAAAGATAACGGTGCCCACGCATATATAGCACATCAGTATAAAGAGCACCAGGCTAATGGGCACCTGTCGCTGCGMCTCCTCATTATAATCATCATCATCGTCATCGTCCTCCAAGTGCTGCTGCTGGAGCTGGAGCTGGTGCTGGTGCTCCACGCACTCGTGGGAGCCATTGCGACGGCTGTGCTTAAGCTTCTTCAACACGAACTGCTCGCTGCCGTGCTGCATGTACTCCTCGTCCTCGGAGGTCTCCGTGTTGGCGGTGGCATCGTAAAGCGCAGTCGCGTGCTTCTGGCAGCGGCGCGTCAGCATCAGAGTCTTGCGATTCAGCGGCTGCAGCGTGTGGCGGTTGAGGCTGGCCGCCGTCGCATTTAGCAGGCCGCGCGCCTGATAGCCGGCGCCCGGCTTCTCCGCCAGCGGCAGCTCGTGGGGCAGAGTCAACGCGCCGCAGCCGGAACTCGCTATCAACGGCAC